GAGAGAGAGAGAGAGGAGGGAGGATTTGGAGAAGGAGGGAAGGAGAGCAGGTCCCTTGCTCTCCCGCGATCGATGGTTTCCTCCACGTCATCGCGCTCGCGGGACATGTGAGCACGGGATAGCGATCTGCGGAATTTCATTATCATGCCGCGCGCCTTTTCAGCGGGCTTAGTTACCGATATAACACGGAGTAATGGTGGCAATTTGCGTGCTCTCCGCATGCACAAGTGAATACTTATTCTCTAGGACCTCGCGGATAATTGACAGTAATACGTGATAATTCACCGCGGCGCGGCTTATTACCATATTCTGCACGGTCGCGCAGTATTTGTACACGGACCCGTATAATAATTCCGCGCCGCCGACAGGCGCGTTATGTCAGAAATAGTTATCGACGTATTGACCGGGCGACAGTAAGTTTCGACACGCGATCCGAACGTATATATACCGCCCGCCCGTTTCGATTTACGATCGACGCGACATGATATGCGCGTTCGAAAAGCAGCGTCCCTTTCCCTCTTCACCCAAGAGAAAAAAAAAAGATAGAAAAAAAGAGGGAATTACCCGTCTGAGAGCTTGGGTGGACGAAAAACGCTTGGCAACAAACGCATCCGCGGATTGATCCCCGCCGCTTCGCTCTTTTCCGCTCTCCTTATGCCAGAGTTCGCGCGGCTTTTCCTCCATCTTCCTCCACCGTGGAGCGCGTGCTCGCACGTTCTCGAAAGTATCTCGTGGGGGGACAACAGTCGCGCGCCGCGGGTCTACGTCACGACGTTCTACGTCACTAGTGAACGGGGTTGTGGAGCAGCCGGGGAAGCTGGGGGGACAGACGGGGAAGGAAGCTCCGATGGTGGGATGCTAGTACGCGCGGAGGAAAATAGGGGAAGGTGGCGGCGCGCGAAGGGCGACTGGTGGGGAGGGTAGATATACGTTCGTAAAGCACTGGCTGGTAACTACGACGGCGCGAGGAGCACGGAGTCGCGGGGTGAAGTGGGTGGGAGAGAAGGGCGGAGGGGGGAAAAGAGGAGATCGTTCAGATCTTACACGCGATATATATACGCGTGTATATATGTATACGTGCGCACATATTTATACGTATATACATGTATATATGATACGAGAGCATTCGTATGTGTATTTAAATATACGCGCGTATATCTAAATACACATGTATATGCCGCGTGTATAAATACGCGCATACGTATGAAGACATATCGCGCGCACACACGCGTGCGTAGACAGTGGTCCGACCGCGGGCGGGGATTGGCTGGCGGTCCCGACTCGGCGCTTCCAAATATGGGACAGTCTCGGCGGTCCATTCATAAAACTACAGGGCGCGCCGCCGCTCGGCTCAGTTCGTGCGCGACCCCCACGCATCGCGCGTCCTTTAACAACATCGCTGTGCACGAGCCAATACACATTCTCCCGGCCGAGTTACACCTTTAACCGAAGGAGAGCCGCGCTTAAAGGAAGATAGAAAAAGAGAGAGAGAGAGAAAGACGAGTAAACGCACGCGCGCGAAGAGAAAGAGAGATAGATATGGATGGACAGAA